AAAAACACCCTATTTTGACTAAAAAAGGAAAATCCTGGAAGCTTTCATTTACCTCATCTCACTGTCTTACACAAAAGAGTATGCTAGCATGGCTGGAATTAGGTGTTTGTACTTACATACAGTTTCTTGCTGCCAAGTCTCTATGGACAAACTTTTTGCTTGCAAGGTATTTCATCCCTTTTGCGACCTGAAGGCCAAATCCAATTAAATCTTTTACTGTTGGGTTCTGTAAAATACAAACATTTGTGATACAATGAACACAGAAGCCCAAGGAGCAGACTGGTTTTTGCTGTGGCTCTCAGTTTTTGGCACAACTAGCTTGCCACCAGAATGATCAAGACAGGTTGGTGCTTGTAGTAAAACTGGCGTAAGTTTAGGTCAAGTTCTTACCTCCAGTGGGGAAATACACTTTATGAAATCAAAAAACCTGACAGACTCCAGCAGAGTGGAGCTTGCAGCATAAGCAGCATGAGATGGGCTGGGAAGTGGAACAGTATGCTGAAACCTCAACATCACATTTGTGAACTCAGAATAATAGCATGTAACTCTGTAAAAGGTGCTAACGATGAACTTGGAGCTGATCAGCTGGAAATGACCAAGAAAGGAGAGAGTCCTATTTGGGGCAAAGTAAGTGCAAGCTATCATCAATATGATGCCATGGAAAAGGCAAATGAGGCCTTAGCGGTTACCAAAGAAAGATTTTCCACAAGGATTGGTATCTCTTTCTGCCGGTCTACAAGGTGAGGCCTTACTGAAAATGTTAAATATAGAAATAAATATAAACATGAAACTGTAATTCTTTTATCCAACATCATGACTTGTTATGTAGTAGTATGGTCCGACAGATTTTTGTGTTGTTGCCATTGCTCCATATATTCTGTGGAACAATCCTGTTCAACTGTGCTGCTATTCTATTTCAGGAAGGACCATGGCACTATTCACAGGCTAGGTCCCTGGTGCTTGTAGAATGAAAGAAGCTCAAAAGGGAAGAGGTCCCTACCTCAGAAAGCTTAACTCCCCCAACAATTTTTCAAGATGCATTTTTTTTTTTTTAATTTTACTGGCTATTGTTGATTGTCATAGAGGCAGGGATGAAATCCCATTGGTTCAAAAGTCACTTTATATTGTCCTAGCACTGTGAAATGGGTGAAATACTACAGTATAAAGTGAGCTTACGCTAACTGAGCTAAGACCTGTGGTCTCATACTTGAGAGAAAGCAGTGAGACACATTTGAGAAATCTGCAGTCTTTCAATGAAACTTGGGAAAATCTCTGATAAGAGAGTACTCATTGTTTATATAACAATTGCTGTTTTTCTCTTTTAAAGATAAGAAGAAAAAATATTGATAATAATGGGACTGTGACACTGTCTAGCTGGACATGAAGATCCCTCACCTAGAAGTTGGAAGAGCAGATGGTGACAACTGGCACAGCTGTGCTGAATTCAACAGAGATGTGCCAGTTTAAACCAGCAGATGGTTGGGCCCCTTGACTTAGATCTCATAAACACATTTGTTTATAAAGAGGCTTACGGATGGGAAATGAGAAATACTTATTGCTGATAATTTCTGGGAAACATTCTGGAGAGGAATTTGAGGGGGAAGGGAAGGAGTGGCAGCACTGTGGTTGGGCTTGGTGCCAGCCTAAGCAAGTGCTAAAGGTTAAGGTGTAGTAACAGCAGCAAGTTATAGACGTAATGTAATTATCAGAGCTTATAACCTGTGGTGTTGGAGCAGGGCGTGGCTAGACATGCATTACCATTTTGTAGACCTCACGATGTACTTACATGAGTCTCATTCCTAATGAAGTTTCGAAGATCTCCGTGTTTCATGTATGGAAGAACAACTAAGGGGGAGCCTTCATTGGGCAAACAGATTCCCAGGAGCGACAGAACATTGGGATGAGTGAAATCTTTCATGATTATTCCTTCTTTCAGAAACTGAGCTACTTCTTCCAGGTCTGTAATCCCTGAGAAATCCAGTAATAAAATGAAATAATTAAAAAAAAATGCAAACAAACTACGGTTCATTTCTGTACAGCATGTCATTGCACAACAAAGTGATAATAAGAAGCTACAAACACGATCCCCACCTCCCACATTACAACTAGGTTATGTGCATCAGTTTTCTTACAATGACTAAATACAGTTTGTTGGTGACTTCAATTCCGTTTCTCCTTTTCTTATTATGAATTATTTAGAACTGAATAACAACACTTGAGTAAAGCCTTTAATAAATGTTGTTACAGCTTCTTCCTGTTTTTCCAGCAGCTTTGCCCACTCTTTAGCAATTTAACTTCCAAAAACAAATCTTTAGTAGTCAGTAGAATAAAAAATGACACTGACTTTCCCTCATTTTCCTCTGTCCTTTTCTTTGTAGAGGAAATACATGGGCACTTCATTTGTTGCACAAATATATGCCAATGCCTTGTGGTAATCCAAAGTCATTGGAATTGCTCCAGAGATAAATCTGGTCCAGCTGCAACTAAGAATCTTTGTTTGTAAAATTACACTTCACTGTAATTAATTAGTTCACCCCAGTTATCTTTGGAATGATGGTAATGTCTCGCTATTAAAAATGTAACTCACTATTCAGTGACTTCACAGCACAATGAATTTTTCTGCCATCGTTATCCAGCAACGTCCCATGGTACACACACCCAAAATGTCCTGTGTAAAAAATGAGCAAGATTAGCTTTAATAAGTAAAATTAGCTTTCTGGTATTTTCCACTGAGTCGCAATTATGATTTAATAAAGTGATCACACTCCATTTCTGTCCAATTCCCAACACTTGTAATGTATACTTCATAACGAACACATAAAACAATCATTACATAAAGCCATCATTACATAAAATAAAAACTTTATTTGCAGCATAATTGATATTTCTTGACCTAGATGGAGAATATAAATAATGACAAGGCTGGCGCCACAACTGCTTCATATTCTTGGAATGACTATGCACACAAAACCCATGTCAGCCCATTCCCACCACGCTCTCCTGTTAGATATATGTCAAAGGAAGACACTGGAAGGCACAGGGAAGCAATTAGAAGGAGCTGATGCGACCACTGGATCGGTGGTTCCCGGGGATCTGCAAGCCCATGCTAAGTGGTCCACTGGACTGTACAGCCTTCATGCATCTTCAGTGGCAAGTTGCATAAGGAGGGTCACTGTGGGCTTACAGTCTCTCAGGTTGTGCTATTCCATGGAAAATGTTCAATGTTAAAAGTGGTGTATTGGCCATGAAAGGTTTGGGAGTGGCTCTACTGATCGCAGACTGACCACATCACTAGTCGGCAGTCTACAGTCTCTGCTGTGGCCTAGTTCCTAGTGCAAAATATCACTAAAAGATGATGAGCGAAATTTGCCTTCTTGCTGGTGATCTAAGCAGTGAAATAAACTGCCAGTGACACCGAAATCCTTCCTGATCCTGTGCTTTCCTGTGAAGCCATCAGGGTAGTCTGCAGAGCAGCGAAACCTACTATGATAAGTCAGATTGACCTGTCTGGGACACACAGAGAACTTTGAGTTCCAGGCACATGCATTAATTTATTCAAATTAAATTATGTACGTGTAATGGTTGCTTTCCTTCACAGATGTACTATTTACTGGACACTTTAAAAATATTAATACTTGCAGTTAGAAAGCAAAATAGTTTTTTTGTCAAGTGTGAGTTCTGCGGAGAACAAGACTATCTGATTAATTCTACCAGGTTCCAGTCATAAGTGCTGGTGAGAGCCCAATTGGCTTTGATTTTGGCTTGGGGTAAAATTAATACAAAGTTTGTTTTACAAAAGCAGCTAAAATCCCATCAGACCACAGATTGTTTGGAGCCTGGGCACAAATCCTAAAGCTTGGATTGGGTGTGTCTGAAATATTTTTGGGTTTGGCCTATTTCTAGTTATGGAGGAGAAAATTAAAAAAGGTTAATTATATTGGTCTCATTCCTGATATTTTTCAACTTTTAAAAAATGGGAAATTACTTGGCCTTTTCTGAAACAAGAAAGAAAAGAAAAAGGCCCACCCTTGCTTTGGGGATGATGAAGTGTATGTAATACATGGAAGGGAAACACACTGAATGTTTATTTGATTTGTGGCTATTTTCCTGCAAAAGAGGCATTAGGAATATCACTTATAGCCAAATTTTTATCAGTATTCTGATAGTCAGCAAGAGACTGCTCATGCATGATCTGCAGAAGTATTGAAAATCCAGTTTCTACTTGGGCTACCAACAGGTACTCAATTAGGTCAGAGTTTAATAAATGCCCCTAACAGAAATACTGGCTCAGGCTATGAAGGAGGGAGGGAACCTGCTTATGGAGATGTAGAGGAATAGGAGTCATAGGAGAAATTCAGAAAAATACGTGACTTGCTCTATCAGGAACAAAAATAAGGGGAAGTGAATCAGGAGCTATGCATTACTGCAGCTGGGATGACAGAGGAATGAGGGGGCACGGAGAGCCTTTGGCAGGAGGAAACAAACAGCAAATTCCTCAGAGCTGGGGGAAATTTGCGGAGGAAAAAGGGGTGTGTGCATTTCACCTGGCCCATGGGGACTTTCACTGAATGCACTGGTGACTGCAGGAGTTTTCACTGCGGTGTAGCCACCTTGCCAGCTCTCAGGCTCTGAGTTTAAGGTCGCTGCTGCCCCTGCCTCGGCATCCCCTGCCATTTAGGTGTGTGCCTTAGGCTTGTGCAATATTCTGCGGCAGCCTCACTCTTGCACCACAGCCTCATGGATCAGAAGCCCTGGCTGAGCTTTCCAATAGCCTGGAAAAGGGTGACAATGAGGCAGCTGAGGGGGAACCAGCAAGTCTCTGAGTTCCCAAAGGAGCCCCATTAATTGGCAGACTCCCTCCCTCTGGTGTCTTCTCCAACTGATCAAACGCACAACCCTTCATCTGACTTCAAAAGAGAACCCCTTGGTTCTCCCCTTGATTTGGTGCATGGGATGCAGTGCTGCAAGAGGTAAAAAGCTTGAAAAACCTCTGTGTAGCCACCTTATTCAGAATGGTTTATAGTGAATGGGTGCGCAAAAAGAACAGCAGTTTGCAATGCAAAAGTCGCGGTACCCACCTCTTCCTATCACTTCACTGAAGTGCACAATCAGGCTGTCGGCACCAATAACCACATGCTGCACTTCTTTGACCAGGTCAGGGTTTAAGGCACTGATGTCAATGTGGACATTAGTTTGGAGAAGTGGACTGGCTAAATCTGAGTCCCCGCTGGACAGAATTGGGGAGAGGTCAGAGTGAGGATACTGGGCAGGTCTGCACGATCCATTCTGAGACATGCTTGGAAACTGATCTGCAAGAGGAACAGAAACTGTTATAATCCTTTCAGACTTCTCCTTGGAAAATGCAGAGCTTTATTTCATTGGTGAGCATGGGTTTGAGTTTATCAGTTTGGAAGTGGCTTGGCTTTGCAGAAGTTTTGGTCACAAAGGGAAAATGAAAATATGCATTGCTGATCTGCCAAAATCCAGGAAAACCATGTCACTAGAAACTTATGCTTGTCTCAGCTCTACTTTTATGAAAGTAAATGGCAAAACTTCCACTTTTCTGTGGGGATGGAATGAAGCCGTGTCACTTCTTGCCAAGTGTCGGTTATAGCATTTCTAGTAATAGGGAGTAACAAGATTAAAATGGAAAAATGACAGCGATATGGGAGGAGGAAGTAGTGATCAATTAAAAACATGAAACCTTTTATTATTGTCATGTTTTAATTTGATAGGGAACTTTACATTTCATGAAGGTTTCCAAACTGCTGGTGACTAGCTATATTTATCCAATGGTAAATATTCAACCAGGGAAATGCCTAGAGGTGATTCATATCCTGTAACTACTGAAGATAATACAGTTGGTGCTAGTCATGAAAAGAACATGAGCCAGCTGATTTAAAATAGCAGAAATTAAAATGTTTCAGTCAAGCAAGGATTATTTATTTGAGAAAATTATTTTTGTCAACAGCATGTTGTTCAGGTATTGTAAATTGCTTTTGTTGAAAAGATTTTTCCCCTAGCATTTTGTGTAATAGAATCAAGGAACTAAGTTTAATTTACACCAGTTTCAGTCTGGAATGATTCCAGTGGAGTGAATGAGCAGAATTTAGCCCAGGGTCAAAAAGAAAAAAAGGGAATAAATTTAACAACAGAAATTATCAGATATTTTATCACAAAGAGTAAAAGGTGTTGTACAGACATGTCATATATTTATGTATAAAACCTGGGAAGTTTTCATATAGGGCTGTTATCACTCTAGATGCTGAGAACTCAGTGCTGCTCTATCTAGAAGCGAAAATACAAACTCTTATATTAACAAAGCCACGTTTATGTCACCAAGAGCAAATATCTATTTAATAATCACAGTAAAATATTCCACCCATGGCTGAAAAATGTTTTTTACAGCTGCTACATGTAAATCTGCATGTTTTCTAATGTTCCTGTAATTTTATTCTTTGACAGTAATTGATGTGAACATTCCTACAGGACATTAAGTGAGTGCACCTCCTCCTTGGGTGCTCTCTCTGCTGTGCTTTGCCAGTGGACAGTGGCTCCAGGACCGCTGCAGATTTACCTTCCACCAAGTCTCTGCATAGTTTTGTCTCGTGTACCACTTTCCCTTCTAAACAGTGGCACAGGCTTTCCTTTTCCTTTGGGAATCTTTCAATCAGGAAACTTCCTGTGCGAGCTGGCAGCAGCAATTAAAGAATCATTAAAGGAAGCTGGGAACTGGCCTGGCTCTCAAAGAGCCCCACAATTGGGGATTACAAAGGTTGAATAAGGATTTGGAGTGACGTCTGTTGAGTTGTATATGGCAGCACCTGAAATAGTACAAGACTATGTCTACACCAAGACTAACAAATATCTGTGATATCTCAAATATCATAATATGATAACCCCTAATAGTTCAAAACTCTTTAATGGTAATCACAGAACATGGTCTCCACATGCCTTAAAGGACATGTTCAGCCTAAAGCAGTAGGATTAATGCAGCAGAGTGCTTTTATAGAGAATACCCACTCTAAAATGGTGTTACAAGGCACAAAAATGTATTCAGCATAGGGTTATTCTTCCCTCATGCCCACAGGCGTGAAACTGAACAGCCTGTTTCCTGAGACTAACATCTCAGTACACATGGACTTCCCCTCAGTTTGTCACAGTTTTCACATCCCTTTGGCTTAATTTTTAAAATGAACATTTCTGTCTCATACATTGTGCCATTTTATGGGAGGGGCATGAACAGACAAAAGAATATCAGTTTACAAAACTCCATGTCCCATGTTGGGCTGGCAGAACTGCTTTATAATGACTGTATGAAGTCACTGAGACACACTAAACCTATGGCCACTCGATGCTATCCTTAAAATCACTTTTTTCAGAGTGTATTTACGCATGGTGTGATGGACCTCATGATAACACAAAATCATTACACCCACTAGCTCCTAATAAATTGTGGAGCATACTTACAGAGAGTTTTTACTAATAGCATTTTATATATTCCTCCAACCTGAATAAAAGTAAAAATCCTTTGCACCTTAATCTTTGGAAGCACCTGAGAAGCTCAGTTCAAATAGCAAGCCTATGAACACATGAAAGTCCCAAACAATGCAGACACAGACAAACCAGATGAGAAACTGAAATTGAGATATTGATCAAAATAGCTATCTTCTGAAGACATATGAAAAGTGAGATGTATAAAATACCATCCGTACAGATTCATAATAGAGGTGTACCTTCTAGAAAAGTTGATCTGTAGTCTACAGATTCGCTTGAAACCATTTCTGTTGTTGGGCTTACACTCCTCGCGCTCACCAGCCTGTCCAGGTGAGGAGTGTGCACTCTGCCATCATAGCGCACTAGGTCACTTCCCAGATCTGAAGGGGGAGGAGAAACAAATATTAGAAAACCCTCATGTTTGCTGTGTGCCAACATTCATTTAGGTATTTATTTAAGTTTAGATGTTCTGCTCTGCTGGGAAGAGGGTTGGGTTGTTGCTGAGGCAGGCATGTGCAGGACCTGAACTTGAGCTATTTGTACAGCACAAGATTTGCTGTAATGTGTGTTAAAGCCCCACTCTTGGCCACACTGGAAGATCCAAGAGAGCTTCGAAGTGTCATGATCTGATTGTGATACTGTGTGAGAACAAGACCTGGTTATATACTAGCTCCCCTCGTCCTCCCGCCTTGCGTAGGGCAGCAGTTCCCACTGGAAGGAAACCCAGGGACAGGGGCCAGAGAGGAGGCACACTCTGACCAAGTTCCCAATTTGGGCCAAGTACTTGTGATTCCACGCATGTCATTTACTCGTCCCCTCTTCCAAGGCTGATTGGGGAAGAGAAGTTACTAAGTTTTGCTAATAGCTCAGAGTTCCTCTGAAATCCTTGTCCTTTAGGCATAGTGTGGCCCTTCACCCAGCTCAGGCGAGAGCCAAGGGCTGAAATGTAACTAAACATTGGACTTGATTGTGAAACCTCTGCTGACAGGTTACAGCTGGGCATTGCATGGCAGTTAAGAAAAGCATAAATTGACGTCAGTTTTTAAAATCTAAGATATAATAATGGAATTGTTTGATGGAGTTGACTATGATGGACCTTTAATTTGTTTCTTCTTCCTTCTCCAGAGGAAAAACACCAAAAAGATAAAAATTAAAACTGATGTTGAAACAGCTCCAGCAATTAGTCCTGTGAAATTCTGATCTTGCTGGATCAGCACTTTTCCGATAACTGTTGACAAAACTTCTTGCTTCCACTGAAAAAAAACAAAGAAGAAAAACAGTGTGATGATTTCAAAATGCAAGTAAGAAGTAGATTATTAGTACTAAAATATGAGCTGATATGTCTCATATGTATTAAAGCTTGATTTTGTGAAGCTATACTGTGGTAAGACACTGGGAGTGGAGAAATTATTGTATTGGTGTATGCAAAAGCAGATCTACATTTTTATGATTCATTACATGCCTTCAGGAGCTCCAGTAGTGCCACGGCTATATGTGTGCTACACCGCACACACGGCACACGCTCACACACACACTCTGGATAACAGGGTCTTGCTGCTACCAGATGTTAATTTAAAATGCTAAGTTCATACTTTTACTCAAATGGGGCAGGGAAATATATGGGCCTATTGATATGTGGGCTGAGATGTATGTTAAAACAAATTAGCCCAAATGTCTTTAATATGTGTCCTTCTGGCATAAATACGCTGTAATATCAAACTCTCTCTCTGTTGACAGCATGCCTGTATTTTAGTTCCCAAGGTCACGTGAGTCTGTCCTTTGCCAGCTTCGAGCTTGTCGACAGTTTAAAGAAACAAAACAAAACAAAACACCAACCCCAAAAATCAACAACCAAACAAACACCAAGCAGCTAACAGGACAAAACTGTTTTAGGTCACACAGCACTAGCTCAGTCAGTTGGAATGCATTTGGCCATCTTTTCTCTTCCTCCCGTGGAATTCATTCCTCTGGGTACTGTAATGATGGATTTGCCCGTCAAAAGAGCAAATTTTCTTCTTCGCTGGGCAGACTGCAATTTCTGAGGCTCCTTGTCAGTAAACAAGCAGAAACCTTATTTAACCCCTTTATGTTGTGTTCTTTTCTGTGTAGGAAATATGTGTCACGCATTTCTGTTTCTCAGAGGTTAAGGAAATATCACATAGTAGAACTGATTGAATGTAGTGCCAGTCCTGGTTGCATATGTAAAAATACAAACAAGTACAGAATGCAACATATGCACAAGTATTATATGAAACTAGGCATTCACAGGTTGGGGAAACAGATTTGCCAAAAGGAGAGGTGCAACTAATTTTATAGTTTGCCTGATACATCCAAGAAATTTAATTTGTACTTTTCAAAGTAAATTAATATTGAAGTAAATTAACATTTACTGTATTGACAAAGCAAATCAGTTATTACTATTTACTTAGGATGCAGTAGCACATAGGAATACCATTCATGGTCCAGGATCCTGTTGAGATGAATGCCATAAAGACACAGAAAAAATAGATGGTCCCTGCTCCAAAGAGCTTGCATAGACTTTGATCCCAGTCACACTTACATGACTGGCAAAGTTTCCATTGTTTTCTATGAATCAGAGTCCATTATCATCAAATTTCATAGTTTAAAGGTAATTTCCTTCCTCTGTGATTTTCCTTTTTTTATATTTAAAAAAAATCCAAAGATACTGAAAGATTTGTGTCTTATTCTATGAATCAGTAGGTCAAAACTGTCTACAATTTAAATTTGCAGTAGCACTCTCAATGACTCTAGTGAGACCACCTTTAGAACAATAATTTTAGAACTCAAACATTTGTCCTGAGGGTCTGCATCTTACAAAAATAATTGAAAAGAAATTTTAAAAAGAAGACAAAAAATTGTTTCAGAAAGGATCTGATCCTATTGACTGCAGCAGAATTTTTCACTAAAAAAAAGGACTTGTGAGCTCCAAAACAAACCTACTCCATTATAGCTTCCCATTCTTCCCCATAGGTTTCCTCTTGTGTTTGGATTAACAACTATGATTTTATTTCTGTGCTTACTTTAGGTTCTGCTTTGTGCCTAAGGCTCCAGAAAGTCCCTGTACGAACAGGTAATAACAACAATAATGATAATGTTTCTTTTAAATTAGTCAATATGATTTGAATTTCCATCCCAAACAAACAGGGATAGAGATATCTCTGTAATCACAGGCTTAGGCTTAGATTTAAAGTTTATAGGTTCAATAGTGACATTGAGAATGATAATAAAAATGGCATTAATATCTCATGTGTGATGTAGCTGCCTCACCTCTATATTTAGCTCGCTGTTGGATTTCAGGAGATCGCTGGGAACCGTACACAGAATTGATTCCGACTGCAGGAGGAGGTTTTCGCAGCTTTTATTTCCAACTTTTAGCACCTCTCCTTTAACAGCTTCTGGATCAATATAATTTCCCTTGGGGAAAAAAAAAAATCAATTTCATATTACATAACCGTCTCACAGAAGTTAAGGAGAAGCCCTTTTATTACCTTGGAAAATGTTTTTAATAGAAAAACGATTGTGAAATAAAAGACTAATGCAAATTTACATTGCCCTGTCAATATGCATGTATCAGTTTTTTTCATGTAAATGGGAGTTTGACAGTCAGGCCAGAGGGGGATGATAAAGTTTATGGATAAAATCTGCTGTCACTAATACTTATACAGCCCATACAGACTTCTAAAAATGTAAATGTCCAAGGGATAAATTCTCTTGGTCCTGTTTAGATTTTTGCATAATTTGCACAAGAAAGGAAGCATTATGTAACCCTGTTGTTTATACAAAACTGACATTATATTATCCACAAACTAAAGGCATCTCAGACATTTTGTTTTGCAAGTGGTTATGGTAGCAGGAGTGAAGCTTTCAAAAAGAATTAATTATAATAATAAAAATGCACAAGTCTGTTAAAATTGTGTTCCACAGACCAAAGAGGAACAAACCCTAGTAAAGATGACAGCATGAAAAGTGCACTCCCTACTCAGAAAACCTGCTTTCACATCCCAGACTTGGATGAAATATTATTCCTTCTGGTATTGTGATAGTAGTGTCCAAAGGCCAAGTTCAGGATCTTTTGCGCTCAGGAGGGTGTCAGTATTTAAGAAGCTGCTGTACCCCATGTACAGCCCAGCTTAAGATAAGATGAAAGAACAGGCATATTAAATGGGAGTAAAAGGGGAGAAGGGAGGATGGGGAGTAACACAAATACAGGCTATTTATGTGGGCTGGATCTGGGAGTTTCTTATGAGAAGGGAGGAAGGTGTCATGGCTGATACTGCTATGAGGCCTCATACACTGGAAAGAAAACAAGAATCTCATTCTGAGGAGCAAAAAAAATCTTACTTTGGAATATGTTTTGAGTCTGCTGCAGAATCAGACTGAGCCCTGGGAAAATGTTAATAAAAATACAGGAGAGCCAGTTTAACGTCCTCTTTTGACTGGCAAAGCCACATCTCAGGTGAGTGCTATTTAATTGCTGACCAAACAAGTCCATTTTGCACTCCATCTTCTGTCTACTTGGACCCATTCTGTTTTGTGTTAATTAAGTAAATATTCAATGTTCATTGCTTGTTAGTATGGAGGCTTGCTGCAGATTGTGAGCCAGTCATGTTAAAATCTTTCCTTTGAATGATGTACCTCAAAAGACTTGAATGTGGGTCTTCCATCTCCAGGACAAATGTACTATGCTGGAGAGTGTGGGTGAGTGGCCTCTCTTTTTCTTCTACACCAAATCTTAGAATTTTTTCTCCACCAAACTGATACTTACCCAAAGGAAAAAAAAAAAAAAAAAAAAATATATATATACTGATGTTTCCCAAGGTGGTCCTTAGCCATTTACAATGAAGACAGTAGTTTTAACTTATAATCATTACCATTATATTACCTTTAATATATTATAGTTTCATATATATGCAGTATAATATCTCAGTATATTGAGAGTTTCAAAACTCTTTCAGCAGTGGTTTTGCTCTTCTAAGGATCACAGAATTTGCCTGTGATTTTAAGAAAAGGAGGAAACTGACTCATCTGAGATCTGGGAAACAATATTTTCTATTTTAAAATGCATATTACCCCCTTCTTACTGGGCAATGCCCTTGCACACAAGCTGGAGAAGCTAGTTACTGGACTGAGTAGCTGTTGCAAACCAATCTAATAGACCAACTACCTCACAACTTAGAGAGATGGGAATAATTTGGGTGAAGGTGTAGAAGCAGTAGAAGGACCACAAACCAAGGTGTGGAAATTTTGAGATTGGTGTCAGAAAAATTTGTGAGGTTTCTAAGCAGAGTGAGTTGGCTTGGGAAGAATGAAGAGTTACTGCAGCTGCAGAGCTTCCATTTCAGCTTGCTCAGGTTTCCATATTGCAGTCTCTTGGACCAGACATTGAGAAAAACATAATTTTCTGTGTGATGTGGATGAAGATTGAAAATAGAGTGACCTATAAATAGACAATTTAACAAGTCTTGTCGTGGTCTTAGTTTTACGGCAGATGTGCCAGAGGACAGTCAAGATCTTGGATGTGATGTGTAACATGAAATAACAATTGTGCTACTTTTTTTTGTAGTGGAAGATTTGTATTTATAAATACAACTTAGTCACCTAGTGGCCCATTCCTAGGCCTCCTCTTGGAGCATGCAGGGAGTCCCCACACCAGGTTGGTGCACAAGCACAACCCCAGACCAGGACAGGCCTCTGGGCAGACTGAGGTAAGAAACTGTTTCTTTCCTTATCTGTTTGTTAGTTTTTTTCACAGCTAAGACACACTGGGCTGTCAGCAGGCCAGCTTGCAGGTCTGAGTAGTGGGTTCCATGGGAGGCAGCAAGTAGACTCTGTCCTCTTGAGCAGACTCAGGTCTTTGGTCATCCCCAACAGCAAAACACCAGAATTTCTCCTGCCTTGAGAGCTTCCCGTGTTGGTGGGAGACGGGAGCCCTTCTGAAGTGGTGTCTTCACAGTGTTGAAGCAGAGAAGTGTCTCAAGCTACTCTGCCATGACCCCTCTGACTGGGGCATTGTGGACACTGAGAGACTCCAAAGAGCCACATACTTGGCAGAGGAAGACAGTGATGATGTGGGACCTTGAGAGACTTGGTAGTGTGGAAGACAAAAGGGCTGGCACTGAAGACAAGAAGGGCTGGCATTCATGGCACACAGTTCCCTGACTGTGTTTTAGATAGCAGACTTAATATTTTCTTGTGTGTAACATTTTCTTACAAAAACATCTTCTGGTCATCAGGGGAAACCAAACAGAACCTTTCAATCGCTACCCACCATCATTTGATGAAAGCCAAATATGTCACACTAGATTAGTTTGATTGAAAAACTTGTGATAAAAGCTCCCTCCACCCCTCTGAAACTAATTAAGAAAAAGATAAAAGAACTTTGGTTTGGTAGAACAGACTGTTCACTGAAGCAAGCTGCCATTTAATTTCATGCTGAGCTTGCTTAATTACTGCACAAAACATGACCATGAGGCATGTAAACTTGTGTGTGTGTATTTTTGAATGTGGGTACGGGGCAAGGGGAAAGTGTTGCCAATATAGCTTGTAATGACCTTTTGGCTCCTGACTATAATTTCTGAAAGTCGCCTCAGTGTTTTGATAGAAGCGTCCCACTATAACTAATTCTATTTAGAAGAAGATGTTAAATTGGTGCTTGTTCATGCTTTGTTCTAGGAGACCAGCTTTCACTAATGTTATTCTCCAGTTAGTTGCCGGGAAATAACCAGAGCAGTAGGCTTTGGTAGACATCTGCCTCGGGTGCCATGACTACAGGTGACATCAATAGTACAAAACTGTGACTTTGGTCAGTTGTCAGTGGGACAGTCCTCAGCCAGCCTTTCTCATCTGAATGGCTTCTTCCCAGCAATAAACAGCACTAGGGACTTCTTCAGGGAGAATAAAAGGTTCAAGAGTAAAAGAAGAGAGTTAAAAAACCAACTAGTTTTTAACCTTCAGTCTCTAAGAAGATTATGGAGCAAGTCCTCATAGAAGCATTTCCAGGCAGAGGAAGGACAAGAACGTGATTGGGAACAGCCAGCACAGGTTTCCTAAGGCTGGGTTTTGCCTGAGCAGCCTGATTGCCTTCTGTGCAGAGACAACTGGCTCTGTAGATGAAGGGAGAGCACCAGACAATGTTTACCTTGATTTTAGCAACACAATCTCTCCTAGCAATGAAAACAAACTGGGATGATATGGACTGGATGGATGGACTATAAGGTGTGTGAAAAACTGACTGGCCATCAGCTCAAATCTTAGAAGTCTAGCAAGCGGCATTCATCAATGGCTAATACTGGGACCAATACTGCTTAAAATCTTTATTGACAACCTGGACAAAGGGACAGGATGCACTGTCCTTGTACTTTCAGATGACATCAAATTTAGGAAAATGACTGATATACTGGACCACAAGGGGAAATGAGACAGCAGTGTGCCATTGTAGTGATAAAGGCTCAGCACACACTTTAGCAGCAGCGAAGCCAGTAGATTGAAAGTGATTGTTCTCTGCTCAGCACTTGTGAGGCCACACCTGGAGAACTGTGTCGAGTTTTGAACCCCACAGAACAAGAGAGATACTGACAAACTGGACGAAGTACAGTAGAGGGCCACTGAGCTAGGAAGGGAGCTGAAGCACAGGATGCACAATACAGGGCTAGTGGAGCTGGGTTTTTTAAAGCTGTAAAATCTTCATTCTTGGAGCTTTTCAAAACTCATCTAGACAAGGCCATAGGCAACCTGACCTAATTTTTAACTTAGCCCTGTTTTGAGCAAGGGAGTTAGACTACGAAGACCTCCAGAGGTTCCTTGCAATCTAAGTTACTCTATGATTCTTCTCAAATTAGTCTTCTTTCCAACTGGTTGATATGCATGACCTGGAAAATACTGGAAAACACTGCTGTCACTGCACAGAAGCACTAAGCCATGCAGCAGCTATATATATTCCCAGCTCTCCATTGACCCGCACACCAGAACTCTTTCTAGCGTTTCTCCATAACTGAACAGGAGAATTGCTCTGCATTGAGGAAGGGGTGATTGTACGGCCACAAGTTCCAAGTAGAAAAACTAAACAAAAAAATGAAAATCAGGCTGATTATTCTTTGGAATATTCCCAAAACACTTTGTGGAGACAGATCAACATTCAGAGTTTGACTGGAACCCAGCATGTCTGACAGAGGCACTGAGGTAATGCCCTCTGATTTCCTGCAGCTCAGGAGCTGGCCCAGCTAGACCATCTTGGAGTCAAAGACCTCAGGGCTTCCAGATTTCATGGCTGTCATAGGGGAAAAGTTTTGGCTTACAGAGCTATGGAGCAGCTACACAAACAGCATTAAGGCTGACTCTCTCCTGTAAAGCTTTTTTTATAGATTATATTCTATATAAATTACAGATATTCTTTATAAATTACATGTACATAATAATAAAGTTTCATAAACATTCATTGTAAGTTAGAAATACCTGTATTTATACTGTTTCTATTTGATACTCTAACTCAGAAAAGCACTAGATTTCAAGAAATCGGGCTCTCGCAAAATGGATTTAACTTTCTCTGCAGCACTTCAGTAGAGAGCAGCCTGCGCCTGCAAGGGCCCCAGATTCCTAAGAGATGTTTCTCAGTGCTGTGTAGGCTATTCTCAGTGCTCTTTTAACAGGCACTCAGCATCAACTTTGCATTTTTCATGGATCCATAAATATTTAGGCTACAGCGGTGACTGATCCTCATGGGTGACTTTGTGCCCAGGCCAGAGTTTTCCTCAGCTCTAGAGAGCCAAAGCTGCTAGGCCACTTTCTAAAGGCAACTCCACGTCTTTTGTGAAGAAGGACACAAAACCATGTGATAGTAAGAGCCGGGACTCACATGGAGACCACACACTTCAGGTTCTGGGCTGCTGGCCATATTTAATCCTGAACTGGTGACGCAGCTCATTGGAAGCTGACACAGCATGGTCCTCCCACGAGGATGACGAAAGCCTCTCTCCCACCCCACCCGATGCCAGCGACCACCCTGGTATATCTTTGTTTTCAGCTCTGCATCTTTTAAGTTGTGACAGCTGGGGGCTCGGGTGAACGCAGTACTGAAAACACTTCTCTCTCTGCACTTGCCTCCTTGGGGCTTCCTTTATTTCATCAAAATGTCTGTTCCACGCTATGCTGCTGATGTGCGCTTGCGAATAATTTGAAAACTTATTTCAACGTTTCTTACCTTAATTTCCAGAACGTTGTGGTTGCCTCTTGAGATGAACACTGGCTTTTCAAAATGCTTAAATACAGGATTATTTACGTAATCAAAATCAAAGTACAAAGAGCTGACGCCATCAAAAATAAAGAACACTTTGGTTACAAAGGGTGGTTGAAGATTGAAGGCTTTCAGTGAAGGAGTTGTACAGCAGATTATCTCTGAGCTAGAGCGGTGGCTACATGCCTATAAGAAAGAAAGAAAGGTAATTGGAGTAAGTACGTGCATAGGAAGTCACTGATGAATGTCACTGTTCTTTAACAATACACATATATTGAAAAAATAAACACCAGAGGTCTTGTTCTTCTTTAACCAAAGCAAAATCCTGATCAGTGCTACACAGCGTTTATTTAGAGCTGGGAGAAAAGTATAAAAACTTCATGTCAGTGGTGTTTGCACTCTTGTTGAGGAAACGTTCAAGTAAACAAGCTTCCTGGCCTGATTGTTCACAGCACTTTTAAGGTAAATATTTTGCAGATAATTAATGGAAAATTATTTCCAAAGCCAAGGAACATCAGGAGGCTACCCTGTACTGGGACACAAAGCAGCCATAATACAGTTGATCCAGTCTATGCCAGAGGGACTGCCACATGGATTTCTCTCCTTTTTACGCTACCAAAGCAATAGCAAGGGACCAGAAGAGAAGGTAAAAATAGGGCTAATTAATCTGACTGAAATAATGGAAAACAAAAGTAAAGCACCACTTACCCACAGTGTAGGTAAGTGGCTATGTTTCCAGAAAGGCACTGCAGATGCTGTGAGAAAGCGCTTTAAAGCCAAAGCCACCTTGGGATTCTGGGCCACAAAAGCTCAGCAAAGTGTATCTGCTTCCTAAAAATGCATGTGTAAGGCCCCAGACGTGCGGCATTCAGTGCTTAGGTACACAGGTATCATGCAAGTCCCTCCTGGGAGTGTTGCCTGTGGGACGTGCTTCATGCTGTGTCTCCTTGGACGCACCGGGATGAGATGTTTGCCCCTCACTGCAGGGCAGGAGCTGCGGGACAGCAGGCGTGAAGCCACGCTTGCTCCTCACTCTGCCATTATTCCTCGTGAGGACCTGCTCTGGAAGTGCTTCCCAGGTGAAAGCCACTGGTCTTCTACACTTCAGAAGACCTGCCAGAGCATGCTTTGTGCTGTGGGGGTGCAATCCAGCATGAAATGTCTGGCCAGGGTGCTTCCCTCTATCCCATACCACCTTGACACTGGACTGGTGAGACAGACAAGACGGACCCAGGTCCTTCCTGAAAGGATGGCTCTGTTGCAAGCAAGGACAGCGGGGATTTGTAGGCAGCCTGATCTGAAGTTGAGTTTAAGCAGTTTGCAGGGTTAATATGAATCCTTGCAGATGGAATTTATCCAGCCTGCATCCAGACTGGAGTTAGTTGGGTAAACTGCCTTTATAGTCAACAGGGAAACAACAGGCTCACCTAGAGTGGGACTCATCCGATCCATTTTAGACAACAGCTTTAATTAGATTAACGGTGCTCTAGAAGGGTCAACTTCTCTCTCTTGACTCTGAAAGCTTCGACATGACTAATTTGATTATAATGCCAACAGCACATCTAGAAGCATCGATGGGAGGCACGGTGGGTGCTGGGCGGCATCACGCAAACCGCAGGGTGGCTGGTTTGTGACTGTATCGTGTACCCCCTTCGCTGTGCCTCCCTTTCATGCTGCCTACTGCGGATATGGTTGAAGGACTTCTGGCACAGAGTTGTTTCAGCTCCACAGAAGTATTTCTCTTCCAACTGTATAAACCTTCTGTAAGTAGTTCCCTGTACACTGTGCCCTGACAGCAGAGATTACACTTTTTTTATACATAAATAGAGTGGCTGACATGTGGCCTAGTAAGAAAGGGGCTTAGCTCCTAGTCATCATAAATCTTACATTTGCTGTACAAGAAATTTCCCTGGAAAACCAACAGTGCTGTTGAGTACCTTTGCGCATCTAGAGAAGGCCAAAAAATACAGATTTTTCTGTTTTGTTTTTCAAATTAAATTGGTTCTCATTATAAAATGCTGCCTGAAGGAGCTGTGAAATTAGTTTACATTTGTCTCTAACATGCTAAATTAATGCAATGTAATTTTGCTGTTTCAAATCAGTGACATAACCGTTCAAGATATATCGGTTATATACTCACATTAGCTTGGAAAGTGGGATTAAATTAGCTATTTGCAAATCAGCACTTTTTCTTATCACCGCAGCAATTCATGTTTCTGTGCATAATACTGTGAAATCTTGAATCTGCCAAGGGAAACATTTTCAAGGTTCTGAAACTGAGCACTAGAGTTTTAGAGCTCTACTACAAGGGTTACATGTCTGTGAGCTGTGAGTTCGGCACTCAGTTAAATAATTTGGAGCAGCTCTTAGTGATGCTAATGGGACTTACACCTATGTAACTAACAGCACTTTTAGATTCCTAGCACAAATTCAGAAATATTTGTGCATCCCCCATGACAACAAGGTAATCTGTGGGACACAAGACAAGGCAGAATTTCGGTCCGTTTGCTTACAGTATTAGACTGTTCTTCCTCTTTTGAATACCTTGTTATACACCATTTACCATATCTCAGGCTTTGTTGTATCACATGGATCTAGAAATTCATTTGAATCAGTATGGTAATAATAAGATGCATCATTAGTATAATGTATGATCAAGCCATGCTTTTCCATGATATATGAATATTTGTAAAGATATCTATCATATTGTGTCGATTCTAAAAAGGGATTACTAAAATATATATAATTCTAAAACCAAATATGTCCCAGGTAATCATTATATTTATTTGATTAATGTAAATTCATTAGACTTTTTATCTACTGTACAGTAGTGATGTCCCTTAAATGAATAGCAGTGGTATTTATAACTTAGTTTGTGGCTATCTATTAGAATCAGATACTTTACTTTATCAGGCTGGTCTCTGAAGAAGAAGCTTTCAGAAAATGATAAAAATCTAATAATACTCTTTGGAGGGGATGCAATGTGACTGATTGGTAAGGTCAAGAAAAATCTTATTTGCAATGCCCTTATTGGTACATGATTTGACATGACATTTTTACCTTGAAATTGGTTTTAACAATTGAAGAATATGACGGTTTAGTTTTCAAGAAATATTGGATTGAAGATCTATAAGAAAAAAACTCTAATTCAATCTATTGCCTTCTCAATTAAGATACTGCCTATCACCCAGCACCTTTAACTTTTATTTAATTATGCTTTAAAGTACATTCACTTTAAAAGCTAGGCCTACATTCTTCTTGTGACTATAATCCACATCTGAAGACAATAAGGAAGAAAAGATGTAAAAATTATGGAGCATTTCACAAGCATAAGTAAATACTATACCCCAAAGGGAATAATAATCCATTGCACAATGCATATGAGTCATGACTTAAAGGTATGTATTCTTGTTTCATTTGTAAAATATGACCCTTGAGGCAATTAATTCAAACCTGACCTACAGAATCTGAACTTCGATGCCCAATTCAATTTTTTTTCATCTGATAGAACAACAGGAAAAGTATGAGGGAGGATCTCTGAGCTCCAGAGGTCTCCCAGCAGCTGACCCAGATAAGAGAGGGGCGGTTGGATGTGTATTACAGGATCTGTAGCAGTCAGAAGGGAGAAAAGGGCCAATTTGTCCTTTCATAAAAAGTAAACTTTTGGAGTTCCAGTGAGGAATGAAGTATGGATGAGATTAAAGACAGGCCGGGAGACTCTCCAACTGTCTTTGCCAAAGGATGATTTCTCAATCAAAAGAGATGAGAATTCAGGTCTGAATTGAGGAAAGCCTATTCAGAAGGCTCTTCTGTGTGGGTGAGAAACTGAGCAGTGACACTCAAGCAGGGTATTTGGAAAATTTTTCAGAGAACTCATTGGCTTTTGCAGCCATTTCAGGTAGTGCAATGAATGGTCCTAGTGGATCAGTAGCATTTTTATTCTAGTTGTCTTCTTGGATGAAGGCATGGGAGATGATACTTCCAGTCTATCAGATCATTGGACCAGAAGGTAGAGTAAAACATCTCTTGCTCCTGGGTCTGAGAGTCAGACGTTCGCACAACATGACCAATACTGACTGGGAGTCTAAATTCTTCCCTGGCCTTAGGAAGGTCAAGGTACCTGCTAGCACCACCTCCATGGCACCCCGGCTTTCCCCTGACACCCCCTGCTGCACTCTCTCCTTGCCAGGAGACATGCATGAGATGCAGATTCGGCACAGAAAGACAGGCCAATGGTTCCTCTCCATGAGGGAAACTCTTTGCTGGGCTTCTGTGGCAGCTTTATGCCACAGAGTCAACACAGATAGAGGCTCCAGCTCTGAGTGTCTTCAGATAGGTAGTCAGGAATATCTTCAATAATCACACACTCACCATCCACAATTTCCAGGGTATTTCTTCTATCATTATTTAATAAATCTAAGATAGACACTCACAGGTGAATTCTAGGCATTTTGATGAGTATTACGAGTATGGATTGTTCACGGACTTGTGAGCACTGAAGGAACTTCAGGGTATTTTAAAATTTTCCTGTAATACAGCAGGAAATGGCATCTAGCAGGCAGCAATTAAGAAATGCTAAATATCTACTTACCGAAGAAAGAATTAAAAGTCTGTGAAAAGAGATGATCTTGCATAGCTATAGGGTCAGTTCTTGAAGGTCATGCATTAAAAGGTGTGTCCTGGTTTCAGCTGGGATAGAGTTAATTTTCT